ATTTTTTTGTGTTAAAGTAATTGTAGCAGGAAGCAGGATAAAGCTTGGCGTAAATCTTCTTGACCCGGTAAAATACTAGAGAAACAGTTTATTGCATCACCGTGGTCAAACAGGGGCTCCTTTTTAACTCTTCGTATGAAGGCAAGAGCAAGGCTTGGGGTGAAAGAGATGCCTGCAGAAATACCAGTATCAAACCTGGTGAGGAGCTGCTCTGACAGCCCAGGACCTGGGCTGGTCACAGCGGAGAGGCAGCGATGGCAGCAGCCCCAGGAGCCACAGCTTGGTAGGAGTGAGCTATCCATTAAAAGCTACTGAGCTGAATCAAGGTTCCGGTTTGTTTCCAGCAGCAGCTCTTAAGTTTGGAGAATTTTCATCAGGGACTCAACCAAAATGCTGGATGTGTTTTGTTTTTCTTCATAAATTCGGCAGCTGCATGCTTGTTTGACTTGGACCATTTGTATATGCCTGGATTCTCAGAAAAGAGGTTGGAGTTGCTAAATGAACATGCTCACTTTTCATATAAATTGTGAAACTGGAGTGATGTAAAAGCTGAGAAATTGGCATAAAACTCTCACAAAAAAAATGTTTTATAATGCAGAATCCTTAATCCATATATTTTAAATTAATCCTTAAATGAGATATACCCATTATGTTTTTTTTTAAGCAATACGACTGATTTCCTCCTTCTTTCTCGAGAGTAATACATTAATACTTTGCATCACTATTTTTGATACATACCGTTTATCTGCATGAGCCCTTCTGGTCCTTTTAAATGCCTCTTAACTGTACTTTGAAATGTTAGGGGGAAAGTATTAACTTGCTTTGGACGTAAATAAGAAATATTCCACATTAAAGTCCATGTTACTTTATTTTATTGACAGGTTATCAGGAGCTGAAATGACATAGAAAAATCTTCAGAGTGCTGACTGCAAAATGAGCTCTTTCTACTTGATGCTGAAAGAAGGTACTGTTTTTGATTGATTTGAGTACTGATAAAATCGCTCCTCTCAAGGTGGATTGGATGCTGTCATTGCCTCCAGTTTGACGTGAGGTAGAAGTGGGTGGGTAGGTAAGCTCTTTGACTATAATCAACCGGTGGTGGCCAGTTATTATGTAGAGCTATAGATATCCATCTTTTTTTTTCTCCCCCCGTCCTGTCCTTTTGTGAAAGTTGAGGCAGTACCTGTAAAAACCACTTTGTTCAGATTCAGATTTAGAGAGGTTAATACTTTGTTTCAAAGTTGAAGTGGAATTTAGCTTATGAAGATTTAACTGTTGCAGGCCTCTCGTGAATATTCTTCTTTGATTTCTGCGGCTTCATTTTGAAGTAGGTTCAACAGAATGTCTTGGATAATGGGTTTTCCTTAAAGGTATGACTACAGGCATGACTTTCCTGTAGTCCTACAACTTGCAGGATTCTTTGGAAAGGAGGCATTTAAGGACTAAAGTTTGTGGTCATCACTTCAGTGTGAGAATGCCACAGCTGATGACCAAATCCAGTTCTAGAGGATGCTTGTGCATCATTTTGTGTGTCTCAGTGTTCATGCATGCCCCTGTAAAATGATCAGCCACATTTTGTTTATGTATTGAACATGTTAGACAGGAAAGTTGGGACTTCAGGAAAGTAGTAGATCGGAAACAAGGTATAGTCTGTTATAAGTTTTATCTTGCTTCGCTGGCATTGGTTTAACCCTGGTAGGCAGCTTAACAGCTTACTCCTGTTGACAGAAGTAAGCACAACAAGGAACAAGGTGTGAACTGTGTGAGTTGTTGTGGTGGGTTGAATCTTGTCTTGGTGGTTGTACTTTGGAGCAAGTGGCCATTGCGTGAGTTTGGTTCTCCACACCCTCCCCTCCCCCATTTAAATTAAACTGTATTAAAGTTTTCCTTAAAAAGTTAATGCGGTTCTTTCTGATAGGTATGCCACTAAACTGGGGCACTTTACAGCTCTATGCTATTATGTTGTTTGCAGAGATGATAACGAGCGTCCTTTGAACCACAATTTCTGTGTTCATGTTTATGGCTCAAAGGCTAAGGATCTGTTGGTTACCCTTGCTGTAATGAGTCACCTAGACAGTGATCAATATTGAAAGCCATTTAACAGTGACCTACTGATACACAGTTGAGGGGCTTAGATGCTTTCTATGCTACTGTCCTGAGCATTTTTTAATTCTGTTGGCCTTTGCAAGGTTCTGTCATGTCCATGTATTTATAAACTATTTGTAAGTAAAATATTTTAAAAACTGGAGACAGAAAATTTGGAAAACAAAAATATAGTTATATGTTTTGCACAGCCTCCTGAAGGACAAGTTTGCTAGTTCTGCTGCATGCAGACTTAGGGACCCAGTATCTCTCTAAACCTGTTCTTATGGCATTTAAAGTTGGCAGTGTGTCTAAAGCAAGTAAAAAGGGCCAGTTCTGTGACGATAGACATCCTGCGTAGAATAAAATGTCAGTATCTTAAATTAGGTCCACATATTATCTATTTCTGTTTTCAATATGGTAATTTTAGAAATTTGAAGGAGCAGTAGTATTTTAACTATGGGAACATAAATATTAGGAAAGTAACTTTGAAATCAAACCTTTTCTTTTTTAGTAGCTTGAACGACAAACGTGAGTGGTTGGTGGTATGGGGTTTTGTTCGGTTGTTTCCCCAACTCCCCTGCCGCCTTATTTCTTAAAAGACTTCACATCCATTTTTCCTTTCAGCACAGCAGGCTTTGAGCTGAAACAGTTTTCCAAACTAGGTATGTAGGCAGTGTCATCAGTGAAATTGCTGTTCTGTCTACATAAGTGAGATTTTTGAGTTTCTGTGGTTGTATCACAGGGGCATTTAATATTGCTGAGACTGGGATAGGAGGCTCTACAAGGCTAAAGTTATTAGGAATGTGAACAAACATCTACTTTTTAAAAAAAGTTTGCTGTTTCACATCTGTGCATTTTGGGTAGTGTTTCTCTGTATATTCTGCTTGAGAAAAAGTGTAAAAACCTTGTGTGGTCACTTGAAACCGTACTGCCCAGATTAGAAATGCTCCATATACTGTGCAGTATTGCAACTACAAAAGCTAGAGGCTTCTTCCCTTCTTTCCAGAGTTTTTAAGCTTTACTGCTGCAATATGTGAAGGGGGTGTGTGTGTGAATTTTGAAAGAATAGAACTTTTAAAAAGTTGAGCTTTAGCATGTAATATTAGACATTCACCCTTGGTACTGGAGACCAGTAATGGGTGCAAAACATAAAGCTTAACCTGCTGTATTGCTTAGTTATTCTTATCTTGCCCTAAATTTAAGTGTTCTTTGTTTCCTTCAGTGGTTAAATCTGTTTTACACAGTGGCTACTTATGTCTGGTTTTGTTGCTTCTTTGACACCTGTGTAATGTTATCTTGTTTTTGACAGAAACTTAATTTTCAAGGTTTTTGCTAGAATTCTTGGTCAATCTTTGCTGCAGGTTTTGTTGTTGCTCTTTTTTTTTAAGTAATCTCTCTAGTGTAGGCAGAGGGATGCTCTTGCTTTTACATTTGGGATGTCTGTAGAAAATTTGGTTTTGTTTGTGTATGCTGCTGTCCAAATGATGTGCTTTGTAAAATTCTTTTTTCTCCTTCTCCACTCCCCTTCTCTACTCTTTACAGGTAAACTGAAACTCCAAAAATGATGATCAGCTCATTGGCAAGTTACAGGAAAACTACATATAAGGCAACTAAATAAAGGCTATGATATGAGTGCTTTGTCAGATGAACTGTCCAAAAGAAGTATGCAGTTGGAGTCTGTTATATTAAAGTGTTAAACTCTGCTCATGTGTCCCTCCCTACTACCCCAACTCTTCTGTGTACGAAATGTTTCAAAAGAAGGAGCTGTTGTGGCTTGTTTGTCACTAAAGTGAACTACACTGGATATAAAAGTAAGTCAAGGCCATGTGTGTTTTTCAGGGAATACCATCCCTTCTTCCAGTCATTTCTAGCTGGATAGAAGGCAAATATTAACTAGGACCTGTGCAGTGAATGTTTTGCAATGGACTGCTTACATGGGAAACCAGATTGCTTTAGAGTGAGAGGGAGCAGCATGCAAAACAGTCAGGAACTGAGGAAAGGCAAGGCAGCTAAATGCAGACCTTGACCTGCAAGGAGCTGTCAGAGGGAAAGGGGTTAAGTGCTTGCCAGCTGGCTGACAGTAGGAGGCTTGGGAAGGGCTCTGATGACATCCTGTCAAGAAAAACAGGCACATCTGAGAGGGGAGCAGGACTTGGTTAAGATTTAGAGGTTTCATGGAAGCCACTTGTGGGCCTTGAGGGCAGTGGGTGTCTGTTTAGTCATGTCTTTGTTGGAGAAAGCTGCAAAGAAAACCTGAGGTGTGAAGTGAAACTACAATTCTTGAACACTTTGTTTTGTGTCTGACCACAGCAATTCATATTAGCTGTGGTTTCCACACATTTGACTTTAGACGCCAATTTAAGTGCCAGATCACACTGGAGTTGCATTGCGCTTGTCCTCCTGCAAAGAACTGCAAGTTCATCTGCTCCTACAAGCAGTGCTGCCTCAACTGTACAGAAAAGTTCAAAGAATGAAACGTCGTACATCTCTGTGATTGTGTCTCTCATAAAAATGTAGAAAGAGGAGTAGCTTAGTCAAGCTTGATTTCTGAATTGTACAGTATAGCTTAAATCACTGTATGCTAGCATAACTTGTCTGTGCTAGGGGGCTGGGGATTCTTTTTGGCTTTACTGTGCCGGCAAAAGAAAATTGCACTTTATGCAAGAGCTATTCCAGTAGAATGTTGGAAAAATTCCAGTAGAAAGCTGAAAACTTTCTGAGCAGCCTTCTGTGGAGGCCAACAGTTGCTGTAGTTGAAATCTTCAAAAACTAAATGACCAAACCCATTTCTTCCCTCCCCAAGATAAGTAATGCTTCTTCTGATTTTTTTTAAAGAGTATCAGGGTGCAGAAGACAGTGCAGCTTGAACACTCTTAACCACACTAACGGAAAAAAATTCTTCTTTGCAGCAAAAGATGACATCTGCATTTTTGCTTATTGGTCTTCTTATTCTACTGATACCTCTGTTCAGTGCAGGTAAGTTAAATATGTTGTTGAAATTACCATTTTAAGAAAGAAAACCTGCAAAAACAAGTTGTGTGTATTTAGTAGAAAAGAGTTACTGAGAGCAAATAGTGGATTTGGGGTTTAGTTTTGCTTCAGCGTATTGAAGATATGCTGAATGCCTTTTCTTAGATTGGAGTTGCATTGGGGATAGAATGGACAAACTGACATACATATTTTAAAATCTATAAATCTATTTAAAATCACATAAATTTAGAGTACTGAGGCTTTGATTAGCCTCTCCTTGATTCCTATAAGGAAAGTCCAACAAGATTGGCTTCCTTGACTTAAAGTTAGCTGTTGAATTACTTCTTTAAGAGACATGCTGTAGCTCTAATCCTGAAAGAGGTAGGGCTTTGTTCCCTTTACAATTATTTAGTAACATTTGTGATGGTAGACCTAATTTTCCATTAAAGTTTAGGACTACATAAGTTAATGATGCTTCTCTTGCTGCTTTTGGCATAAGCAGTCTAATATTCATGTCTCTGCATTAGTTTAAGCTCCATAGGGACCTACTTGGAAATCTTTAAATTGGGTGATAGGAAGGTGGTGTGACTGGAAAGATTACTGAAGACTTTTTTTTTTTTTTTAATTTAAACACTTTAGCTTTGTTTTTTTTTAGCAGGATTTGTAAAATCAGTTCAGTCAGATGTTTTGCCGTTTCATAGGAATTCAGTATATGCAAAAGTTTGGAAGCTTTTAAAATCTGCTTTATAGCCAAATGGCCTGTTTTGTTTGTGCTAAATTGATATTCTCCAAGTAGTTTTCACTTGCATATTTGGATTCTTCATGTCTTCTTGCAGTATGTGTACTTCTTTCTCCGGTATTTTTTTGGCTGATGTTTAAAAGATTGTTTGCTAGGCTGCATGGTTGTGTCTTGTCAACTTGTTACACAGCCATAATTATAAAAATTCTGTTTATGCTCACCTTTTATGTGATGTTCAGATTAATGTTCATAATTTAAAGGGCCTCCTGGATTAAGATGACGGAAATTGCAAATGTAGTAAGGAAATAATGTATTAAAGTCAAGCCTTTGTAATCTAAACACTGTGCTTCTCCAAAGTTCCCTTGTATTATGACATTTTTGTTCACAGGCTTCTTTGATATGTTGAGATCTTGATCTCATTCCTTACTATCTTGTACTTCAGGTCAAAACACATCTTCCCCCCACACTTTTTTTTTTTTTCCCTAATTTGTTTTTGGCCCCACAGTCATAATGGCCAGAGTGCTGTGAGGAGCTCTTCTGCACTGCTACTGTTTGCACCATGCTTTTCATAGATAGTATCAACATTAAGAATCTGGTAGTTCTGCAAAAGTACTAACATGCTCATGTAGCAAGGACACGACAGGTGAGTTGTGAAGCTTGTGTTGCCTGGTGAATCCCATGTTTCTTCTTATACCTTGGTTTGTACTGAGGCTGTTGGACTTACATGTGCTTGTTGCTGACTACCTTAAGAGAGGGAAGTTGTGACTTAAGCTTTGTAAAATGTGTGGTTTAGATCCTCAACCAGAAGGTGCCAAACAAATGAAAAATGTTATCCTTGTGGTGTTTTAATGGTAAATCAGTACAGAAAGTTTATTTACTAATGCTTTGTAATTTGGAATGGATATTAATACTTCTAAAACATTAAAGTATACAGATTAAAATTATTGATATTTTTTCTTATTTTTTTAATAGAGGAATGCATTATTTGTGATTACTTTGTGCTTGTTGGAGAGCCTATAGCTGTTAGTTGCCCAATAATTACATCGCCAGTGCTTCATTCTGATTATAATCTGACGTGGTATAGAAATGGTAGTGCTACACCAGTAACTTCAGAGAGAAATGCCAGGATCCATCAGCGAGAGGGCTTGCTTTGGTTTATTCCTGCAGTGCTGGAAGATTCTGGACTTTATGAATGTGATGCAAGGTAAGGAAGGGAGGAGGGAAGCAACTGGGTTGCTAATGCTTTCAAATGTGACAATACATTCATGGAACTGGAGTGTACAGAATTTTTTGTTTTAGGTAGAGAGCTTAGATTGGTTAAAAGCACTGTTTTGAGGATGCTTTTTGTTTCTGTGTGCTGCCTTTTTTTTCCCTTTTCTTCCACATATGTAGCATTACAAAAGTGGTTCATAGAGAAGACTCTTCATCTTAAAGTACGTTAATATTAACAGTAGTCTGAGTGGATTATTTGTTTGTTTGTTTTCGATTAAGTGTAAGGTCACAGGGGAAAGTCTTAACTGCTTCATCTTTTCCTGTGTTCAAATTGCTGTTTGATACTGACAGTTCAGAAGAACATTTTGGTTTCTTCATTGCACAGGGTTAAATGGAAGAATGATCTAAGAGGACCAAACTCTGCGTGTTATGGAGTATAACCACACAGACTTTCTGGAGAGCTTAGCAACTTCTGGGGAGTAATTTTAGATATTTACAAATTAAGAGGCAGAAAACCATTCTTATGTTTTATTTTAAAACATTATCAAATGTTACTGGTCAAAAATTAGAATGCATGTGAGGAGCAAAGCAATGTTCTAGATGGCTTTAGAGCCATTGAAAGTAATGCGTCCGCAGTACTGCTCAAAAGATCTGAGTGCACAGAGAAGAAGAAAAAACGGAATAGATTTGTTTCACCTCTTCTGTACTTTGAATCTCTTGCCATATTTACAGCTTAGATTAGTGCACTGGACTTCACCACTTCAGGTGGTCAAAGCTTATTTATAATGGCTGAAATTCACTGTGAGCTGAACAGGAAATTAATTTTGGGAAGGCACATGGAAATTTTTCTTCTCCTCATGGTCTTGCCACAGCCCACTGAGAGCAGCAAACACACACTTTTTGGGTGACCCGAAATTTGTTGTAGTAGTGTGTAGTTGTGTGTGTTGATGTGCATACAGTACACCAGTTCTGCTGAAGAGGTTTGGGTTGTGAATGCAATAACAGTAATCAGCAAAAACTTCCAGCGTAGGCACAGGTCCTTGGACCTTCCTGCTCTAGAATCAATAATGAGTCTAAAATTGGAAGTCGGAAGAGATGTAATCCTTTCAAAGCTACCCAGTGAAATAATTTTAATCTAGGCTTTCCTGCTACATTTCTAGTTACTCCAGCTATGAAATGTGTTCCCGTGGGTACCTCACACCTCTGGCTTGCATAATGTCAGCAAGCCAAAAAACTTGCCAAAGTTCAGTTGTGATAACTGTAGGCTACATTTTGTGCATCAGTCACTTAAACCTTAATTACAGAGCTCGTTGAGGTGCAGTATATAGAAGTTGAAGCCAGCACTGTCAAAACATGCAGTTCTGGAAACTTCTCCCTTAGCATAGCATTGAGAAATGAAGAGTTGAGCAAAGAGTTAATAGAATAGTCCTTTGCTTGTGGGGTAGGCTTCTGGTCTCTAGTACTATCTCTTCTCTGCAGAGCTACTGTGCCACAGGTTCTTGTGAGCTCTTGTTGTGAAGTGGTTTCACATTGGTATTGCATCTTGATGTAGATGTTATTCAAAAGCTCTGTTGCTCTTCTGCTAGGAATTGCAGTCTGTTTTTCTTGATGTGTCCCTGCAAGGAACGCTGAGATGAACCTGTCTTCTTCTGTTCATGTGTCACTGAGGATGTTCCAATGTGGATATGTTTTGGGTTACCCTGCACTACTGTGGGTTGGCAAATGTAGTGCTAAAAATGGCAAGGTTGGATTGGTGCTACGGGCTGTGTAGAGCGTCAGCTCTGAGAAGTCCTGGCATCCCCTCTGGTGCTTCCAGAGCAAACCCACTTCTGCTCACAACACAAAAGCAGAGCTTATTCCCATCTCTCAGTCTGGAACAAGAGGTGAAGGAGCTGAGGGTAGTGTTTAAGAGCTAGGGGGGCTGTAGCAGGGGTGTTAGAGGCAAGTCTGGTGGAGGTGCTGAAGTCCCTCTCCATAAACTCCCTGACTTGCTGGAAACAAGGAACCTTATTGTTAATGACCTGACTTGTCTGCTGTTCTGATTCCAGGAGCCTTAACCACTCTAACAAAAAAACTATACATTTAACAGTTTTTAAGAATGATAATGGTTTGTGTTTTAATGGAAAAATGAAGTTTGAACAAAAAGTGATGAGCACAAAGACTGGAAAGATTATATGCCCTGATCTAGAACATTTTAAAGATGAAGACAACAATCAGCCTGAAGTACACTGGTATAAGGTATTGTGCATATGTATTTCAGATATGCAAGATATGAAATATTCTATTTAAAATGTGTTATGAAGTAACTTTGAAAAGCAGCTTTTGGAAGGGGAGGTTTATTGTCTCTAGAGTTGGAGTAAGGCATCTATCTTGTTACACTATTTGGGAGGTATGGGAGGCATATTTTGAAAAAACATTTGTCCATTTTTGGATTGCAAGTTTTGTCAGAGTCAAAAACATGTGTTTTGGTTTGTTGATTTGTTAAAATCTAGTTTATCCTTTGATTATTTATTTTGCAGATAATAAGTTTAAAAACTTGTATGTTTCTTTAAATACAAGACTCTGCATAATTATTTCAGTTCTCACAATGTTAGGCCTGTTCTATCTGGTAATCATGGTGTGGTATTCTTATGCCTCTTGCTCTGATTCTGTGAAAATATTCGGTAGACAATGCAAGCTTAGAAATGTGTATTTTGTTCATGTTAAGGTAAAACTCTAAAGTAGTTCAACTCTTAATTCTGATACTGGTGTTAAAGTAGCTACATGGGCCTGTACATGTAAAATAACCTTGGTGCTGCACCTATACATCTTCTTTTGAGGTGAAGTGGTTCTAAACTGCTTATGGGTGAGGGAAGAGAAGGAAGTTTTTCACTGTTTTTCACAGCACGAGGCACTGCTACAGCTGCTCTCACTCATCTCAATGAAGCAGTAATGCAGGCATGTATTCTCATAAACTCTGCTACATGCATAATGACTTTTTTTTACATCTGAGATGGATAACTGTCAAGCTATTAAATGAAGGCAGTAAACTAAACCACAGCATTTGAAAACTTCAAGGATTGTCTGCAGTGATTTTTAAAAAGTGCAGATGCAGCAAGACATCATCAGGCTTCATGTTAGAGCGTAGTAATGTTTGGATAAGAACCCATATTGTGGCTTTCAAAAAAAATCAGAATTTGGCAAGTATTTTATTAATCAGTAGAGTTCAGTAACTCATTTAATTATCAGATTGTTAGTTCCCTTAAATCACAGGTACTTTTGATATATTTAGGAGTGTAAGCCTGGATTTCTTGAAGACGAGCGACTTCTTTTGTCAGAGGGTGAAAATTCTGTCTTGATTCGCAACGTAACTGTACAAGACAGAGGAAACTACACGTGCCGTATGGTATACACATATATGGGAAAACAATATAATGTTTCGCGAACCATGAGTCTAGAGGTTAAAGGTGAGTGCACTGAGGTTATTCTCTTCTCTTTTTGGTTCTGCTGTAGATATTTGTATGCAGGCATAAGCTGTTTGGCATGTTACTTTTCAGCTCTGTGAAATTAGAGTTGGAAATATTTAATTAGTTTTTTCCTGAGTGTAAAATCAAAATACAGTAATGCATGTTGCTACCTTTGAACATAGCTTCCGAGGAAGAATTGTCATGAGGAAATGAGAAATGCAGGGTTAGGAATGGGAATTAGGAAGAAGCAGTGGTTACTGGGGCGGATGGGTTTGTTTTTGCTAAAACAAGTAATGCACCGTAAAATTAAGTAAACTTAAAAAAACCCCAAAAAAACACCAAAGGGGAATTTTTTCTGAGACCATCACAGCAAAACACCTGCTTGTGGCCCTGCTGGTGAACTTGCTTACAAAGTTCACTAGAATCTCACTTGATGGGAAAGGAGATGTGACAAGCTGTATGAATACTATAAAGTTAATAAATCTTCCTCAGGAAAGGACTGGCTTACTGTTGGCACTTGTTGTGCTTTTCTGCATAGAACAGGATGCAAAACCAGCTGTCTCACTCTCCCAATACTGCCATTTAGTGCTGTGATCGTTGTGATTGCATCAACGTTGCTGATGACCTGACCAGTACCGTGATAGTAATCCTATCAGAAAAGCTGGCTGAGGTAGAGTGTCCATCTTTTTGGATTAAATCAAAATTCTGACTTTAGATGGGTGGTACAAGAACAGTGGATTGTTAGCAGTGAGTCTATATATCATGCAGAATGATACAGTTCCAGCCCAGTATAACTGTGTGTTTGTTTACTGTTTCACTTAAATAGATATTTATGATCTAGGAGGTCAGTGAGACAGACAATCTCTCTTTCTCTTCCTTATCCATCACTCTGACAAAGTTCATTGCATTTTTTTTGGTTTTCATTTTGTTTTCTGGTTTGGTAGTCCTTTTATGTCAACCACCAGTAAATTTGAGATTTTAAAGTATGTTTAAGGCAAGCTAAAGCCTTCTGTTAATTTGGAATCTAAAAGAGAATAATTTGGATAGAGTTCAGCAAATCTCATGAGATCTTTTATGTTGTAAATATGAAACTGGTAGTGAGTATGGTGCTACAATAGTACCAAACAGTAGAACAAAATCATTGTAAAACTATCAGTTGAACTAGATTGTAGAACTCTTCTTGCCTGAAGATTTTATTTTTCTCTTTGTTTCTGTTAGAAGCACCACGGCAGATGAAACCAGAGTTTATTTATCCAAAGAACAATACAATTGAAGTAGAACTTGGTAAGTAGCAACTATTTAAGAAGTCATTGACATTCAGTAAAACAAATAAGCTCCTGGTCTTTGTGAAATAACATGTTAACAGTTCCACTGACTTCAGCAAGACTGGGAGACAGGTAACACAGATTGAGGGTGTCTGGAAGACAGATAATAGAACGTGATTCCCACAAGTAATACTGTGCCTAAGATTGGAGTCTCTTGACCAGCAGTGTCATGTGGGATGTATGTATGTATGTATGTATGTATGTATTTATTTATTATAGCCATCCATCCTTTGTACCACTTCTCAGTGTCTATGTCTTGACATATCCTCGGTATCTGTGGAAATATGGTTACATATATGTAACAGGGTAGTTACAAGTTGACCAATTCAGTAGTTTGTCCTCCTCCTATATGTTTTCTGTCTCCCTTCTCTTTACACAACTTGGGTTTTATTCCTCATTTCAGGGTACTAAAAGGTTTCAGATACTAATCTTTTGTGAAACAGTGAGCTGCTAGTTGATGGATATCCAAGGTATTGTTTATCTTAGAAATTTCTTAAATAAGAGATTCTGGATATAAGGAATAACTTCTTCCTGGAGAGGACAGCCAGGCAGTGCAGCAGGCTGCCCTGAGAAGTTGTGCAGTCTTTGTCCTTGGAGGTTTCAGAACCTGACTGGATAAAGCTCTGAGCAGCCTGGCCTGATCTCACAGCTGGCTCTGCTTTGAGCAGGAAATTGGACTAGAGACCTCCTAAAGTGCCTTCCAACCTCAGTTATTCTGTGATTCTGTGGGCCAAGTATATGGGATGCAAGTAATTTCTTAAGTAAACTTACACATGTTTAGATTGTGCCATATATCGGACAGAGTTATGTTCTACTGATCTAGACCCAAAGCACTTCTTCTTTGGCACCAGGAAGAACTGTTTCAAACAAAGTATTTGATTAAAAAGGACATTAACTGACTTTGAGGAAGTATGATTGGCTATTTACTAGAATTTCCTAGTACAGGATCTAAGCTGTTTTGTAATCTTTTGAGGAAGGTTTATTACTGATTAGGTCATTTGAGAAGCTCTGAGGAAAGGTTGCATTGGGGGTCTGGCACCAGATGGGAGCTGAGGCCAGAGCATAGTGCATTATTCTTATGTATGTCCCATTGATGGTAGTCCTGCATAACACGGCTACTTTTGCTGCTGCTTTTTCCGACATTGAGCTTGTAGATACTGTGTATATCAGATGTTCTTTTCTCAATATTGAGGCTTCATGCTTCTTTTCACATTATGTGAAACATTTTGTCTGTCCCAAATTCTAACTTTAAGGATACAGTATTAAACTACAGTGAAAAGCACTGAAATACTGATGGCTTTTGGGATTTTGTTTGTTTGTTTGAGGTGTTTTTTTGTTGCAGCTGTTTTGGAGTTTTGGGTGTTTTTTTCTTTTTGACCTCAACAACTTTTGAAAGATATCCCACTCTGAAGCTGCCAGGTTCTGGTGAGGATCAGTAGATTTTGACCAGAATAATGAATGAGCTTTAATGGAAATCATGTTCCTCCAAAGTCGTAGAATCATAGAATCATAG